TAAGGGTTCATCAACATCTAAAAAAAGTAAAATAAAAAATAAAGAATCTTAGAGAGTATCAGGTACAGTGGACCTGTGAGTATTTAGCATCACTGGGACCTAAATCTATTTAGGACAGAGCTGTTGTGGCCACAGAAATGACCTAACCCAAAGGCAAATGTTAGATCTTGGTTTTTATGTTGGGCAGGTCCTCTGGCACTCTTAGTAATTCAGTGCCCCCTTGGAACCAGTGATTACGACATGCTTCCTAGCAAGACACATGTAAAAGAACATCAGTCTTTTCACATACTTTTTTCTGCTTTAGAACCCAGAGCTAGTTGCCCGGCTTGAGAAGATTAAGATACAACTGGCCAATGAGGAATATAAGCGGATCACTCGTAATGTCACCTGTCAGGTAAGGGCCTGCTTCTTAATGTATGGACTGAGTAGTCCCTAAAAACAGAAATAAAAACTGGTGCAGAGGAAAGAAACAACATGGGAACTTGGCTTGTCTCCTATTCCAAAACCATACAAGTTCTGTGTTATCTAAAACTGCATAATTCCCAGCTCACTCACTGAGACTCTGAGCTTAGATGTGACTGATTCTTAAACATTGTAGAGATGGAGATGAACCTTGCAGCCTTTTTTCCCACAGGGTTCCCTACTAATCTCTGGAATGTTCTTTCCCTGAAACAGGAGAGAAGTAGATGAGTACTGGGAGCCTATGTCCTCTTCTCTGAAATGCTTGCTCTGTGGTCCAGCAAAGAGTCAGGCTGGTCCTAGACAAAAGAATACATGGAAAATGCAGAGTTAGTGTGTTGAGGAATAGAGAGAGGTGAGGCCAGACTGACAAATATGTGAGTTGTCTCTGAGCTGCTTCCATTCTGAATCATCTACTTTTTCTTTTTTCTAGGATTCACGCCATGGTGGGATGCTCAGTGATCTAGGAAAACAAGGTGAGATACTAGGAAATTAGGCTTCCAGAGCCTCTCCTTGGGATGGAGGTGGCATTTCTTTCCACCCCAACATTCTGGGTTTAGGCTGAGCTATTCAGACTTGTTCTTTGAAAGGAATGCGGTTGATGGAGGGAGGCAGCTCTGAGGGAACAGGGCCTCCTGGAGAATGCTGACCTAAAAATTTCTCCCCTCAAAGTAAGGTCAGTGAAGGCTCTAGTCATCACCATCTTCAACTTCATTGTCACGGTGGCAGCTGCCTTTGTTTGCACTTACCTTGGAAGCCAGTATATCTTCACAGAAATGGCCTCAGTGAGTATGGGCTAGACAAAATGCCCCAAGTGGGGGTGTTAGTGGAAGAAGGGGATGTGTGTGAAAATGCCTTACACAGGTTAGAAATTGTGCATATTTATGCACTAATCAAAGGGAGCAATTTTGGGGGGAGGGCTGGACAGGTATTAATCACAAGAGAAGCCAGATCCCCTCTTCCTCGATTTAGGAGCTGGGTTGGAGGTTTTCCATCCCCATTAAAGGTGCTGAGGGCTAGAGAGCTGAGTCTTGGCTTACATTCCTTAAGCCTGATTTTCCACCTCCCTAGCAAGTGCTGGCTGCATTGATCGTTGCCTCAGTGGTGGGTCTAGCCGAGCTGTATGTCATGGTGCGGGCAATGGAAGGTGAGTTGGGAGAACTGTAACTGGTGCTTCATCAACAAAGTCTGGAGAAGATTTGGGGGGCCCCAGGCCCCCAACTGCTGATAACCAACTCAATCAACCTATGAAGCTCTTTGTACTCAGCTCCAATTAGTCAGAGGACCAGGCTAGGCCATCTCCTGTTCTTACAGGAAGCTCTGTCTTCTGTGAATTTCCAGAGGGAGCATTGGAGGAGATTCAAACAACACCACTTCTTTAAAACTAAAAGAACTGACCTCTCAAAAACTTTCTACTGAACTCAGTGCCCATTTGCCGTCTCCAGTTCATTCTGGGCACTGCTGGGACTGGGTTTTTTTCAGCAGGAGTAATTGGAATCCAGGCCTTCTCAGAAGTAGACCATACTGCCTTGAACTTGCCCAAGTGCACAAATCAATCAAATCCTTCATCTGTACATCTTTGGTATAGGCCTATAATTGAGAGCAGAAGCCTCCAAGAAAGCAGAAAGGCTTCCTTTCTCAGTTTATGCTGGAAGAGGAACCAGAGGACAGGTATCAAATAAGAGAAAGAAAGGTTGGTATGGTATGGTAGATCTGGAAGCCAGGCAGCTACTTTTTTGGAAAAGGAAGTGGTGTTGGGCCCCTTTTCCAGAAGGCAAAACAGTCTAGACTGAGACCAAATGGCCAGCTATGGTCTTTCTTCTGTTGATTGGAGTCAAAGATTCCTATGTTGCCCTGATGTCTCTAACATTAAACTTCTGAGAACTTAGTTAAGTGGTGTGATGGTAGAATCTTTATATGGAATTTGAAAGTGTATCAACCTTAAGTTATTTATCCAATAAATATTTATTGTGCCCAGTGTATTCTTATTTCAAATCCTGTGTCAGATACACAAAGCAAAAAGATCTCCATAATTTTCTGTGAGTTTTTCAGGATTTGCTCCTAAAGATTGACTCATTACTGTTTGTTCATTGTACATGCTCCTGTAGTTCTTGTTTTTTCCCAGAACTTTTTTATTCTTAGAGATTATATACACAGTGGCTTAATAGACATTTCCTCTACAACATTTGCCAGTTTCTGGTAGTTGAGAGAAATGTCACCTGTGAGAAAATGTAGGTGACATTTTACAGTGTTTCTAGTAACCTGAACTGTTGAAGCTTGGTCAGAAAGCTTCAAAAGCCTTGTGGGGTTCATGGCTGTACTTCCTTGTACTCTGTGCTCCAGACTGCCCATCTAGCTATAAGCTTTCACGTCTCCCCAGGACTTGAATTTAGGTTGAATGGATTCCAGATGTTAAAAGAGATCTAACTTAATCAGAATCTCCTCAAAACAGATCCTGACCCTAGGACATCCCACAGTAAAATCGGGGTCATTCCCTCTCCCCCTGATCCCAAATTGGGATTGAACCCATGGGCATTCTACCACTAGGCTATATCCCCAGCCCTTTTTATTTTTTATTTTGAGATAAGATCTCACTAAGTTGCCCAGACTGGTCTTGAGCTTGTGATCCTCCTGCCTCAGCCCCCCAAGTAGCTGGGATTACAGGCATGTGGCAAAATTGGAGTTGTTCTCTTCCCTCCACCATTTATTAGGATGGAATCTACACTAGATCCCAACCACCTCCTCACAAGTTAACAAGCTTCTATGGCATTTCAATCTTATTAAGAGCTGCTTTATGGGCTGGACACCAAGTTAGCATCTGAGGCAAAAGACTTAGCTCCTGCCTAGTGAATGAAGAGGAGGCAGTGGCCATTGTGCAAGGAGGGTTCCATCTGTAAGGGCAGGATGGTGGTGTTGCTCAATGGTAGAGCACTTGCCAACCATGTGCAAGGCCCTGGGTTTGGTCCCTAGCACCTAAAAAAAAAAAAAAAAAAAAAAAAAATCTGCTAGGTCCAGTCCTCATTTACCTCAGTGAAGGGAGCATTGTCTTTGCCACTTCCTCTCAGGGTACCATGCTTTCTCCATGACACTCTGGGTTCAGGAAGTGCCTGGCAGGAGGTCAGAGAAACAAGAAGTTTGAGGCCTTCCCAGTTTCTTTTCTTTTTTTTTTTTTAAACACAGTATCTTTATTTTATTTTTACATGGTGCTGAGAATCGAACCCAGTGCCTCATGCATGCTAGGTGAGCACGCTACCACTTGAGCCACATCCCCAGCCCCTTCCCAGTTCCTCTTGAGCTCTAGTATAGAACAGCAGAGGGAATTAGCAATTTTTGGAGTTTTTATCATGTGTCACACACTTCATGAAGCCCTTTGCCTACATTGTTTCTTATTCCCAAAATGGAGACAAGCAGGTTTTTCCGCTCAGCTTTTCTTGCACATAGTTTCAGAGAGTTGCCAGTTAAATAGCAGAGCCAGGATTTCAGTCCAGTGCAGTCTGATCACCAACTCTGCTTTTCTCCCCAAAGCTGAGCAACTCCAGAAGTGGAGGTAACTGGGATGTGCTGAAGTTAGTAGGACTGCAACAGGGGTGCTGGCAGAGGCTCCCATCACTCAGGGCCTCAGTCAGAGCCCTAAGCCCTTCAATTAACCATCCCCCTAACTAATCCCAGCAGAAGCCTTTGTAATACCTCCCACCCAGAATCTGTGTGGAACCTGGCCCTATTTAGGGATTAGGTGATAAAGATAAATTTCCAAGGCAAACAGCCTTCAGCCTCATTTATTTGCAACATACAACAATCCAGATTAAAATACAGAGTTGGATTTTATTTGGAGATTAGTTGGTATTACAGATGACAGTGATACCAAAACCCAGTGCTGCTGTACCCTCCTCAACCCCAAATCTGTCAGGTTGTCTCCACAGCCCCACGTCAGAAGGCAATCTGATTTTTTTGAAAATTAAATCAACTTAAGCCCCAGGCTTCTTTTCTACTTTTATTACTTTAATATCACTCTCTCTTCAGGTCCATAGTTATGATTAATTTGTCCAGGTAGTAGGAGATGAGGGGCCCCTGAACCATAAAAAGGTGGGTTTCCAGCAGTCAAGAGTAGGAGCAGCCCTCTTCCCCTAGCATGCATAGCAGGCATTTAGGTAACGTTCTAAAGGGCCCTGGTCAGACAAATGGCTGCCCCATCAGAGGGAGGAGGTCATCTCTGTGGTGAGAACTGGGGACAGGTCCTAGCAGGAGAGATGGGAAACATGACTCCTTAACTCATCCTGATGGTACTGTCAGGACAATAGATATGCCCTAGGAGGGTCCAGAGTGCTGGGTAGCAAGTACCATGCTGCAGTCACTACCGAGGACCTGCATGTGAGCTGGCCTGGAAGTGGAAGGGAGGGGTCCCAAAACTAAACTCTTCCCATTAGAGTTCTCCATTATGTAAAATAAGAGGGCAGGGGATCCAGTTCTGATGTGTTCAGTCCTAAGTGGGCTGGATGGACCGTAAGAGCCAGAGGAGAGGTCTTGGAAATTCTGGACCTGGATCAGGAGTGGTCCACATTGGTGATAACAGCTGAGGCATAAATAAGGTCAGATAGGCTGCCCAATGAGGTTTGAGGAGTAGCTTGCTCCAAAGAAGGGTGGACCCCTGAGACCTCAGCAGGTCCCCGTGGGGCTACAGCTTTCGTCACTGCCCAGCCCTGACCTAGACCCAAGCTGGGAGCTGCACACAGGGCCTGTGAACACACCGGGGTACACTGAGCTGTGCTGGTGGCAGATGGAGGCTGGACCAGCGTTGGGGGTGCCCAGGGCTGCTGGGGGGTATCTGGAAGAGAATAGCAGCTCTGGGGAGGCTCAGGCCTGGGACTTAGGCCTCCTGGATTTCTGTTCTTGATTTTCTTGGCCCGGCGGTTCTGGAACCACACCTGGTAAGGAAGATGAAGAGGACTATTCTGTCTCCAGCACCACTTCCCTGGGACAGGACAGACCCTGAAGGCAGAATACCCAGAGAGGAGCTGTGGGTTAAGGCCAGAAGTTGGCTGTATGAAAGTAACCTATCCTGGGGGGAGGTCATGGCTCACCTGTATCTTGGCCTCCGGTAGGCGAGTGAGTTGGGCAAGGTGTTCACGGGTACCAATGTCAGGATAGGGTCGTGCTGCAAACACCCGCTCCAACTCCAGCAGCTGCCCAACACTAAATGTGATTCTCTTTCTCCGGTGGGGACCCAACCCACTGGCATGGCCTAGGGGTTGACATGGGGGTCAAGCCAGGACTCCTTGCCAGAGCCTGACTCTGCAGTCTGCACTAGCCAACCCTCTTCAACCTTCCCCATCACACCCTGCCCCACCTCTTACCCAACCCACCCTATATCCCTGTCACCTCACCTGCTGGAGATGCTTCCACAGGGCTGGCCATGGAGCTGGCAAGGGCCGAGGAGCCAGAGGGCCACGCCAGGCCTGTGCCCACACCAGACCCATCTGTTTGGGGTTTTATGCTGTTTGAGTGCCTGGCCCCACCTCCAGCAGGAGAGAGGCTTAAAGTCCAGCTAGAGTGAGACAGAGAAGCCCAGAGCGGGGAGGGGAGGCCAGGGCTAGGATTGGGCTGATGGGGTATGGGTGAGCCAGTTTGATGGCCCCTGCCCTTCCCCAGCTTCACAAAGGAAGCTGGTCCCAGCCTCTCTCTCCAAACAACCTGTGGCAATCTGCCTGCAGTCCTGTACTTCATGAAAATCCTCTAGGGCTCCTTCCAGAAGGCCACTGAAATTTTTCCAGTGTTCCCAGGACTTCAACTGCCCCTTCTGGAGCCCTCCGTGCCCTGGTTCTGGCTGCCTTCAGGGAAGAGTAGGTAGAGGCCTACCCCACAACTGACTGGGCAGTAAAGCTGGACAAGATGAGGATGAAGGGGACAAAATGAGCTGGAGCACATGCTTTCAGCAGGGCTGGGGAACAAAGGTCCACACCAGAGCTGTTTCACTTTCTGGCTGACCCTTGAGGCTTTCTGGGGCCCAGGAATCTGGAGCCAGAGGAGGCCTCACAGGTACAATTGAAGGGTTTAAAGGTGATGTTTTAACAGTGCTCTCTTCCTTAGAAGCCTTCAAAGTTAGTTTGCTAAAAGAAAGGGGTACATATGAATTTCCTTCCAGCTCCAGTCCTTCCCTCTCTCTCCTGACTTCACTGCCCTCCACCCCGAACCCAGGACAAAAACTTCAAAAAACTCCCATCCTCCAGGTTGTGGTAGTGCATACCTGTGATCCCAGCTACTCAGGAAGCTGAGGCAGGGAGGGTTTTGAGTTCAAGGCCAGCCTGGGAAACTTTAAGGAGCCCTGTCTCAAAAAACAAGAAGGGCTGGTGATGTAGCTCAGTGTAGAGCACCCCTGGCTCAATCCTCAGTACCACACACATACAAAAAAAAAAAAAAAAACACGGGATGGAAGGAAGGCAAGCCTATCCACCTACCTAGGGATGGGTTACAGGAGCATGATGACCCCGGTGACCCTACCTCTTCTCTTGCCCCTTCTATCTCCATCAAAACCCTAAGACCCTAGTCAAGTCCAAGGCTCAAAGCAAGCCAAACCCAGGGAGGAGTGGCTTAGTGACTTCTGTCATGACCAGGGGGTTTAGTGCCTGCCTACCTGGGCTGCTGGAGGCTCCTTAGCTCAGAGGAAGGGTAGTTCTCCCAACACCCTCCTCAGCCCCCAACTTTTCTGGTTCACAGAGAGGGCAATAAGCCTAGCATGGACTGACAGTTGAAGCTCCTCTGTTCCTCCTCCCCTTGACCTGTCCTGACAGCCCAGCTTGCTCTCCACCCAGGTAGGGATCCGTTGACCCCAGTCAGGACAGTAGTCTTAAACTTAGGGCCAAGTGAGCTTTATTGGGTTGGGAGAAAAGGCTGGAAGAGGAAAAAGCTGTGGAAGACCAGCTGTGTGGACTCTGGCTCCTACTTCAGGTCAGGGCAGCCCAGCCAGTACTGGGCGATGGGACGTGGGTAGGGAGGAGTCACTGTGTCCACTCGCCGTGTGCGAAGGTTAACTCGGTAGTACTTATCTGAAAGAGAGGATGGAAGAGGGTGGGTGAGACCCTATATGGTTCTGCCCACTCTTGCCCTGAGAAAGAAGACTGTATCCACAGTGCAACTAAGGACTCCTGGCCTGGCTTTCTGGGGTCTCTGCCCTCAGACTGCGTTCAGACCATGGAAACCAGAGGCAGCAGAGAAGGCTCAAGCAAAACCAGCTTCAGAGGTGGCAAGGGCTCCCACCTCCTGAGAAGAAGTAAACACTCTGGATGGGCTCGCAGGTGGCAGGCACAACCCAGTTCATGTCATAGTCATAGTTGTAGGCTTCCAGCCCGCTGTCCTCGCTGGAGAACAAGTGCAGCCAGGTGGAACGGGATGGCCGACGGGAGTTCTGGCTGTGACTGCGGCCACGACCACGACCACGACCACGGCGGGAGCGGTAGCGTTTGCGACTGCGACGTCTGGATTTTTGTTTCTTGGCCAAGGAGGAGCGGGGTGCTGAGCCTGAGATGTAGATCCGGCCGCCCATGACAGCATCCACCTTCCCAGGCACACCATGCCAGTCTCTGCTGATGAGCCCGGGCTCTCTGGCGCCCCCTGTGGCAGGGAAGGGGTTCATGGGAGGGGTTTAGAGGACCCAGTTTTGCCCTCTCCAACAGGACCTTTAGGGTTCATCTGTTTCACCTTCATTGCCAAAGGACATAGCAAGCTGGGGGCAGAGTCCAGTGCAGACCTCAGACTCCCTGTCCAGTGTTCCTTCCTGTGTCTACCATATCCTTGGTGTCTCCACCCCACAGCCTAGGTCTCCACAGACCCCCCTCATCCACGGCCCCTCCCTCTGCTGGTTGTGTCCTTGGCTGTTCTAGGCAAAGTCCAAGATGTGGGGTCTGGGTGGAGGAGCCAAGCCTCCCCCTAAAGGTCAACAGAAGCAAAGTCTGGTCTGAGTAAACAGCGCTTGATCAATAGCTCCCCAATCGGCCGGCCCCCTGCAGGCAGCACAGCCCTCCCCTTCCCCAGGGATTCTGGTCCTCAGGAGATGAAAAGCAAGCCTTTCCCTCAGCCATACCAGAGGATCTGCTCCAGAAGAGCAGCTCAAAGATGTCCTCCCAGCTGTCTCTCTGCAGCAGGGCAAAGTGCTCAAACACGGCCGACATGGAGCTGCCTTCACACTCCTCCCAGCTGGGCTGGTGCTGGAATTCGTACTCCCAGTACTGCTTCCCTGAGGAGCAGGGGAGCTGGCATCAGGAGGGTGGGCCTAAGCAAGGCTGGAGAGCCCAGAGGCTGCTCCAGTTAGGAGCTCTTGGCACAGGGGGTGGGCATACACTGAGGCCTGTCCCCAGGATAGCACAGAAGGAACCCGAGACAACTCTGCTGTCTGCCCATTCTTCTCCCACCCTTCTGAGTACCCTTAAAGAAGTAGACCCTTTCCCGGCCACTGTAGCTATGGGCCGGAAGAGCCAAGGCTGCGTCCACGTTGTCTGGGATGCCACCGAAGCCTTCAGAGATGTTTTGGGGGTAACCAGGGTCCAGAACACCATCCTCAAAGCGCCAGTACTGACTACCCTAAGAGGCAGGAAAGGTGAAAGAGAGTGAGGAGGCAGCTGGTTGGGCACAGAGACAGAGTCTCATGCCCTAACATGGCCATTCCCAACTCCAGGCTTGCTATGCAGGACCTGGAACCTCAGACTGCTGCCTTGTCTTCACAGAGCCCCAGCCAGGTACCACAGGGTCCTGCATCTGACTTTCCTGCCCACCATGGTTCTGGGAATACCAGTTCTCAGCCCTTCCCTAAATGTTCTCTGTCCTGACCCACAGTCCCTGGGCCTGGCACCTTGAAGAGGTAGGTCTTCCCCTGACAGTTGACGCGGGTGAAGGCAGCATCAATGGGGCCCTCGATGCCCCAGACATCTCGGATGAGCTTGGGGTACCCAGGCCTCACTGCTGTTTCATCTAGCTCATAGCAGTACTGTCCTAGAGTGGGGGAGGCTGTATGAGAGAGAGCATGCTCCTGAGGCAGACCCCCACCCCCAAGACCTTCCGCTGGACTCACCTCGGAAGGCAAAGAGGGAACCATTCTTGAGGTCAGTGAAGGCATCAAAGGGCTTCCCACTGCACAGCTCCTCCTCTGTGGAGAACTCAGAGGGCCCTTCAGCAGTAGCTTCAGGTCTTAAGTTCATCCCCTCAGGTCCTGAGGTCTCCACCTCAGGCCCTTGGGGACTTGACTCGGCTGTAAGAGCTTCTTCCTCAGGGTTCGAGACAGTTGTCGGCTCAGGAGTCCCTTCAGGGCTCACGGAGGAGCTCTCATAGAGGTCATAGGTCCCATATTCATCTTCTGGCATAGTGAACACATCCCCACGAGTCACTGCAGATAGAATGGGTGATATGAGTCTCCAGCTACAGAGGAGACCCCAGGCCCACCTACCTAGGTATTGAACGCACCTTGGGTCTTGCACTCGGTCATGTAGTCAACACAGCAGCTCTGGTAGTAAGAGCAGAGCTCATCGCACTGACACTTCTTGTCAGCATTGAAACCCTCAGTGCAGCGGCCCTTGCATGACTCTATGGAGAAGGGGTATCAGTTGATACAGCCAAGACCGGGCCACCCTCACCCACCCTTACATTGCCTCAGATGGTATCAACACTTTGGTTCACACCTTGGTCAGCCACAGCAACCGACACCAGCAGAGCCAGTATGAGAAGGGGCCTTGGAGGTGCCATGAAGGAGCCTCTAGTTGACGGGCCTGGCAAGCTGGGCTCTGAGCTCCTGGAGTCTCTGCTGCCTAAAATAGGGAGGGGGGAAAATGAGCCAGGGAGGGAGGGAACTGGAGAAGAGGAGCTGTCCTCTCTGCCACTCTGTTTGCTCAGACTCCAGCCCAGCCCCCAGTTTCCCTACTCCACAGGCTGCAACTACAAAGGGTCACATTCTCAGAACCCCAGGCCTGGGAGAGCTGGGAAACAGAGTCCTTGCCAAGCTCAGGGTCATCAGGTCATCTGGACAGGGAATAGCATGGTGTGTCTGGAGGGCTGAGGGAAGGCTCATGCTGTCACTCACTGAGAAAACTGCTTTGTCTCTCTGAGTCTTTGTTTTCTTTTCAGTAAAATGGGACTAATAGTACTTTGCCTTGTGGGATGTTGAAGGATTACATGAGCTAGAACAGACAAAGTGCTCAGAGCCTGCAGTAGTTTCAAATTAATTCTCATAAATGACTACTGATGCATGATTTATTTGAGCAGGCACATCTCTGGCTGGGTGCTCATCTATCCACTGTGTATTTAGGACAGAGAAAAGGGGGTGGGAGCAGAGGTGGTAAGCATCCAGGGAAATGCTATTTTTTTATCATTAAAGTACAAAGTTTCAATTCTGGCTTCTCCTTGTGGGTCTGTCATCTCTCCAAACTGGTCTTCACAGCACAGAAAAAAGTGAATATGAACCCTTTGGACCAGATCCAATTCCTGAGGCTTCCGTTAGTTCATCAGTGGTGGGCAGACCACTCCCTGTTCCCACCTTCAATCTCCCCATTTGTAGAGTAGGCTTATTCAGCACACTTTTAGACTCTTAAAATAAGTGTTATCCCCCCACCCAGAAAATGCCTGCTGGAACAAAACACCTGTTTGTTTCTTCTTGTTGTTGTTGTTTCAATATTTTTTAGCTGTAGAGGGACACAAAATCTTTATTTATTTATTTATTGCTGAGGATGGAACCCAGTGCCTCACACATGTGAGGCAATCACTCAACCACTGAGCTACAACCCCAGCCCCAGATCACCTGTTTTTTGTGCCCCATTTCAGGCATCCACAGGCTTCTGAAGCCCCTCTCACCGAGTTGTCAGCTAACTTTTTTTTGTTCTGTAATCTGTGGAATGTGACTTTGGCCAGTGTCTTCCGTTTGGGCCTCAATGGTGTCAGCTGTAAAATGGAATACTAATCCTACCCCACAGGCGTATTGTGAGGCTTGAGAAACAGGCATAAAACCTTTAGAATTTTACAGAATCATTACCACGACTGCTTTAACCACTAGGAGGGGAAGGGGCACATTCAGCGGTATTGCTCTCAGGTCAGCGCAATCCGGGAGGAGGAACTGTGACTCTTTCTCCACTTCCTCCGCATCCAGAGCAAAGCAGTGGAAGGCGATTGTGGGAAGGGGCGGGGCCAGGGTGTGGGAGGGACTGGAGAAGGCTTGGGGTGGGGCTGCGCACGCGGCGAGGGAGGAGACTTAGAAGAGGAGAGTCGGCTTGGGAACACAGCTACTCAGGGGCGTGGCTGCTGCAGAGCTTCCCAGTCCAGCGATCCTAGCTGGAGCCGCGCTTTGTTCTGGCCGCCGCCTCCTCTACCCTTTAGCGTCTGGATCCATCCTTTGCCTCCCCCACTGTCCCCTTCCACCTTCTCCCTGCATCTGGGTTTGCATCCTCTTCCCCAACCGCTGCACTCCCTGGCCGCCTTCACTCCTGGCCGAGTCGCTGCCTGGGATGCTTCTCTGAATTCTTCCCTCTGCATCTTCTTCCCCTTCGCCCTTTTTCGGGTCTGTTTTCCCCAGGTCCAGGTCGCTCCTCCCGGCCCCACCCCTCCAAGCCGGGAATGTCCCTCGGAGCTCTGTGCCCATGGTCCTGACCCTGCTTCTCTCTGCCTACAAGCTGTGCCGCTTCTTCGCCATGTCGGGCCCACAGAACGGGGCCGACCGGTTGACTGTGCCGGGGCCGAATGGGGGTAGTGGCTCGGGCCCATGGTGGGCTACTGGCTTCCGAGGGTCCCGCGAGGTGTCGCCTGGGGTGGGCACCGAGGTGCAGGGCGCCCTGGAGCGTGCGCTGCCGGAGCTGCAGCAGGCTCTGTCTGCGCTGAAGCAGGCGGGCGCCGCTCGGGCTGTGGGCGCGGGCCTATCGGAGGTCTTCCAGATAGTGGAGGAGGCTTGGCTGCTGCCGGCTGTGGGCCGCGAGGTGGCCCAGGGTCTTTGCGACGCCATCCGCCTGGACGGCGGCCTCGACTTGCTGTTGCGGCTGCTGCAGGCACCGGAGCTGGAGACCCGCGTGCAGGCCGCACGCCTGCTGGAGCAGATCCTGGTGGCTGAGAACCGGTGAGGGTTCTGGGCTTGGGGGAGAGTGCCATGGGTGGTGCGGCAGCCAGAGCGGTGGAGTGCCTGGGTCTCCGGTGTGCCTGGACTGTACCTTTGCCTGCTTCACCTTAATATAGTCCCACACTACACCTCTATTAGGTATCAGCGCCTCTATTTTACAAACGAGGAAACTGAGGCTAAGGAAAGTTTAGTGACTTGCCCAGAGTCACACAGAGAACTAGTGGTGCAGTGAGGATTCACACCCAGCACCAGTAGCTTAGGAAAGGAGCCTGTCTTCGGTTCTATGGATGGAGATGGTATCCTATTGCCAATGGCTACCTACACCCAGCTCTTGGAACGTTTAGGTGCCCTTTTATGCCCTTCTATGCTATCTTCTCTCCTGACTAGACATGATCTCATTGTACTGCTGCTGATGGGGAACAGAAAGTTTTCTGCCGGAGTGAATGGGTGGGGGCCGAGGAAAGGAGGTGCAGAGCTGGGCAGGCGCCAAAGCATGTGTTCTCTCCTCCTTCCCAAATAGCACCAAGATTTAGTAAGCAGGGTCCAACTGAGCCTAGTTGCTTCTATTTTGCCTCCCTCTAGGGATCTCCCTTGATGCATGAAGACCCAAGGGTTCACTTTCTCTCCCCTCTGATGCCACAGCAGTTCAGGTTGTCACGCTCCAGTCTCTTTCTGAATTCTCAGGCTCCTAGGGCTTAGAAGAGTTTTGCAAGAGTTACTTTCAAGTCATGCAGTCCTCACAAGTGTGATGGGAGTGTGTTGGAGTGTTTGCCATTTTCAAAAAGAAACAAATCACCTTGCAATTAGTGGAAATTATACAACTGTCAAAAAATGCATGAATGAAGCAGTTTAAGCTAAAAGACCAAGATCAGCTTCCGTTTAGCAGGTCATTAATGTCTTATCTATCATCATGTGTCCTGATTGAAATGGGTCATGAATTTGGAGGGCTAGAAAAATGGAGTGGGTGCTCATTGGGTGTGGTGGGGTCCAGGTTGGTGGGTGTGGGCTTTACATGTGGATTGAGACAGTTATAATTAAATCCCCTGGGAATTGGGAAGAGAAAGCCTTCAAGATGCAAACAGTTTTATTTCTCAAGGATGAAAATGACAATCCTCACTTGGTGCTAGTTACTGAGAGAGCAGTCACTAACCAGTGTCCCTGGTCCCAAGAAACAACCCATGTACCAGTGCCAGTGTTACTTCAGGACCAAGGACAGAGTGCAGTGCAGGATCAAAATCCTTCCCAAGAAATGCGTTCCTCTAAATGGGAAGAGAGAGAAGGGGGACAACATAATGACAATTTGTGTTCATGAAATGTTTTTCCTTCTATACCAATCTACCCCTCCCCACACCAGCTCCTGTTAAAGAAAGTTCTTCCTATTCTTACAATTTTTTTTTCCCAGGGGGTGCTGTACCCACTGCCCAGAAGCTCAGGCCAAAATTTCCCTCACCCCAAACTGCCAGAATAAGTCCAACAGGTGGGGTCTCTGAACCTGGCCCCACAACACCCCATGAGGGTCTCATCTGACTACCAACCCTCTAAATTCATACACATAATGAATATAACTTCAGAAAGGTTAAATGGTTTTCATAAGATTACACAATAAATAAATATAGGAAACAGGCTTTTTAAATAAAAGCAGAAAAATATCGCACATAGGTTCAAAAAGTGCAGAAATAATACAGCTAAAACCTCTCACCAACCAAATCCCTCTTCATTTTTATTTATTTGTTTGTTTGCTTATTGGTACCATAGATTGAATCCAGGGCCTCACTAAATTGCTGAGACTGTCTTTGAACTTGTGATCCTCCTGCCCCAAACTCCCAAGCCAATGGGATTACAGTTGTGTGCCACCACACCTGGCCAAATCTCCTTTTCAGAAGCAATGCACTGAAAGCAAGTTTCCTGTATATCCTTCCAGAGAAAGTCTATGCCTACTCAAGTATTTGCATATATATGTATAAGTCACATATACACAATTTCCCTTTTCAAGCTGAGAGTTGAACCTAGACCTGCATGTGTCCATTTTATCAAACTCGTATTCTCTCAGATCACAGAATTGGGAACTGAGTGAATAGTTCCCACAATCAGCACACATTTTAACTCTGGCAAGGTGCCAGGTGCATATAGAAAGATAAGGGCTGCAGGTAAAGAGACCTGGAATAAAGTCCTAGCTCTGAATTGATATTCCTAAACAAGCCCTTTCCTTCACTGGGCCTTAGGTAGGTTCTTTGAAAATGAGTGTTAGATTAGGTGATTCTTAAGTACATCCTAACACATCAGACATCTGAAAGCACAAAGTAAAGATGAAACATATTGAACTCTGGAGACATACAGACCTGGGATTACAGGTGTGCACCACTGTGTTCAATATTAGGTTTTTTGTTTTTGGTGTGTGTGTGTGTGTGTGTGTGTGTGTGTGCTGGGGATTAAACCCAGTGCCTTGCGCATGCAAGGCAAGCACTCTACGAACTGAGCTATATCCCCAGCCCTCAACCCCAGCACCAACCCCAGTTGCAGTGTTATCATCTGCTCAGTCATTTGTTACTGTTCCAAAATCCTCCTTGGGCACCCGCCCACATTACCTTTGTTCTTCAGGCCTTGATACCAACTTCAACTTCCTCACACCACAAATAATAGTGTGGCGAGCATCCTTACCCTCCTGCTCTCATTAATCTGTGGACACTCTTTGGAGAGATTGCCTGCCCCAGCCTGCACCTCCACCCACAGTGCCTCAGCACATTTATAGCCCTACACCCTGCCAACTTCTTATGATCCAGCATATGATTTTGCCCATCTAATAGGCATAAAGTTAGAGCTGTTGTTCTAATATTCATTTTTCTGAATACTAGTGGGTTAGAGCATCTCTTTATTTGTTTGCTTACATTTTGGATTTCCTCCTTTATAAATTACCTGTTTATGTCCTTTGCCCATTTTCTACCAAATTCACTGTCTTTTCCATGTTGATTTGAATATTACTTGTGCACTTTCCATATGATCTCTTGCTGATTTTCAGTTTTTCCTGGTTAGGGTTAGACACTGCATTAACTGGCTTTCTTTTTCTTCCTCAATCATGCCAACCCTGATGGAGCTCATCAGCCTCCAGACCTTTGTCTTGGTCTTCTTACTCACTGTTATGCTCTTCACTGTTATGCTCTTCTCTGGTATTTGCAAGCAGGATTTTCTCAATATTTAACTCTTAGATGTCACCTCCTTAGGTACATCTTCCCAACGGGCATGCTCTATTACATTATCCAGTTGCTAGCATCATGGCTGTATCACTAAGATCTTGTTCATTCACTCGTTACTTGCTAATCGTTGACTTTCTTATTAGTTGAGGGTAAACCTTGTTCAGTGTTTAACATTAGCCTCTCTAGCACGAAGCAGGATACACAGTATGTGCTCAACAAACATCTGTGAGTGAATGAATAATGTGCCTTAGTCACGGAACATTGTGTGAGGAAAGGTTTGAAGGCAGAGCTAAGTGTGATGTAATTCAAGTGACACTTAAACTGACCATAAGTTAACATTTGAGTGTTTATTATGGAGGCATGGTGCCAATCACTGTATATGGATTATCTAATGAGTCTTTTTTTTCTTTTAGAGAGAGAGAGAGAGAGAGAGAGAGAATTTTTTAATATTTATTTTTTAGTTTTCGGCGGACACAACATCTTTGTTTGTATGTGGTGCTGAGGATCGAACCCGGGCAGCACGCACGCCAGGCAAGCGCGCTACCGCTTGAGCCACATCCCCAGGCCATCTAATGAGTCTTGATAAGAATTCTATTAGTGTTCTTATTTTCCTGTTGATAAAATGAGGAAACTGAGGTACAGATATAAAGGACCGTGCCCAAGGTCCTTCACAAAATGGCAGAGAAGGACCTGGGACCCTGGCGGTTGGCTTCAGAGCCAGAGCATACTGCTTCTATCGGGGAGGAGATACGGAAGAGATGGGTGTAGCCAAGATGGAGCACCTTTATATTCAGAGAAGCTTGCTCCTTGCAGGTCTAGAAGTGAGGGTGAGGCTGGAAGGATAATGCTGTCCTCCATGTCTCATGTGATACCAGTGAGGTTAAGAGGATAATTGACCAGGCCCCCATAATGAGAAAGCCAAGCTCCCCAGGCTGCGGTAACTCCCTCATCCCCTTCCACTTTTTCCTCGCAGAGACCGCGTGGCTCGCATCGGACTGGGCGTGATCCTGAACCTGGCGAAGGAGCGCGAACCCGTGGAGCTGGCGCGAAGCGTGGCAGGCATCTTGGAGCACATGTTCAAGCACTCAGAGGAGACTTGCCAGCGGCTGGTGGGGTCTGGAGGCCTGGACGCGGTGCTGTTCTGGTGCCGCCGCACAGACCCTGCACTTCTGCGCCACTGCGCGCTGGCGCTGGCTAACTGCGCGCTGCACGGCGGCCAAGCGGCGCAGCGGCACATGGTAGAAAAGCGCGCGGCTGAGTGGCTTTTTCCGCTAGCTTTCTCCAAGGAGGACGAGCTACTGCGTCTGCACGCTTGCCTCGCTGTGGCTGTGTTGGCAACCAACAAGGAAGTGGAGCGCGAGGTAGAGCGCTCGGGCACGTTGGCGCTGGTGGAGCCACTCGTGGCTTCGCTAGACCCTGGCCGCTTTGCGCGCTGCCTGGTGGACGCCAGCGACACGAGACAGGGCCGCGGGCCAGACGACCTGCAGCGCCTAGTCCCTCTACTCGACTCATCACGCTTGGAAGCACAGTGCATCGGGGCCTTCTACCTCTGCGCGGAGGCTGCCATCAAGAGCCTGCAGGGCAAGACAAAGGTGCGGTACAGGGTAGGGTGGGTCAGTGGTTAGAGAACGCCTGGACCTGCTTCCCAGAGGAAGAGAGGTTCAAGTGGGACTAGAAGTACACCTAAGAATTAAATGAGGGCTGGGGTTGTGGCTCAGTAGTAGAGTGCTGGCCTAGCATACATGAGGCACGGGTTTGATCCTCAGCACCACTTAAAAATAAAATATTGTGTCCACCTAAAACCAAAAACTAACTAAATAAATAAAATAATTAAATGAAGCAAGACAAAGGTTGAGGGGCCAGTCATTTGGGCTTTGAAGGCAAGACTCAGAGTTTGTACTTGGTTTGGAGAGCAAGAGGAAGACAGGTTTTAAAACAGGGATCTTGTGTTTGTTAAAGATCATCCTGGCCGCTGTGTGGAAAGAGGGTTGGCAAGGGTGAGATTGGAGGTAAAGGAACCTAATAGAAGGCTATAACATGGGACAGGGCATGTCAGGAATGTCAACAGCGACAGAGAAGCACTCAAGAAATGTTTAGGAATGGAGTTTGCAACTTGGTGCTTGGGAGGAGAAAGAAGAGCTGAGGGATACCTCTGGCCATGAACATAGGAGGCCCAGTGGATGTGGTAAACTGGGTGAAAGACAGGGCAAAGTTGATGAGAGGAAGAAAGTGAATGCAGTGGGTCATGTTGAGTTGGAGGTACTTGAGAGATGCCCGGCTGGCAAGCTTCAGTGGGCAGTTTAGCCACCTGAGTTCTGGAATCTTGAATGGAGATGGTGACTGGAGACAGAGGCTTGTGGTAGGACATCAGTGTGTCAGCCAAATAACTCTCACCAGCTAGATGTGGAGGCACACATCTGTAATCCCAGCTTCTCTGGAGGATGAGGCAGGAGAATGGCAAATTCAAGGCGAGCCTAGACAACTTAGTAAGACCCTGTCTCAAAATGAAATAAACAGCTCTGGGTAGAGTGCTTGCCTAGTATGTGCAAGGCCCTGGGTTTAATCCCCAGTACCCAAGAGCAAAAACAAAAACCTCTCACTTTAGTCCCAAAAGGTCCCTACCTCCAGGGTCTAAACCATGGCTTTTGCTTACTGCTTTAACTTTGTATGTGACCTTGGGCACCTTCTCTCCCTTTCTGGGGTTAATTTTTATCCTTTGGAAAATTGAAGGGATTGGACCACAGATTGCAGTTTTTACCCTGGTTGTGGGGCTAGTAATAGTTTCATCATCAAAAGTTTGTGGGGTTTATTTTTTTAAATATTACTGGTTCAACATTGTTCCTATAATGTTACTTTCTCTACTTTGCAGTCCTCTGGAGGCCTTGGGTGTAGGTAACAGCTAGTGTGCAGGGAATGGTATATCCCATGGCCTACTCTCTCTGCACCCACAGCTGTTATTCATGGGTGCTCACAGGTGATGGCCACTCATCACATGTGTCCCTTCAGGCAAAAAGACTTGTGTTAGGAGTCTCTGAGGTCTCTTCCAACATCTAATTTTCTAGGAGCTTCTGATTCTTCTCTCTGAGTCTCAGAGTTGAGCCATGAGACTTGCTCTATAAAGCACATCATTCTGCTTTGGGAGAATGGATTTGGATGGGTGTAGGGATCAGGACCTCAAGGACTGGGTCTAGGCAGCAGTTGTGACCACAAGCTCTGTCACCCCTTTCCCATCAAGGACAAATGAGTGCAGTTCAACAAAGATATATTGAATTTCCAGTCTGTGTCCTTCATTGTGCCAGGCATAGAGCTTCTGTGGTGACTAAGCATGTCCTTACCTTATAATCCAATGGAAATTGCATTATCCACTAGTAACAGTGACATTCAGAGCATGATACAAGTCCTGTCTGGAGGTGTGGCCCAAGCTTCGGAGGAATCAAAGCAAGCTCACAGAATAGATGCTAATCAATTTGGATTCTGATGGATGAGTAGGTTTCCCACAAACAGGCTGAAAGAACTAAGAGTTTGGAGACACCATGGGTGGAGACCCGAGGTGTGAGCACCTTAGTAGGTATGTGAAGGGAGCTGGGTGCGGTGGGCTGTTGGCCATGCTGAGAGCTCAGACTTCATCCCAAGGTGGGTAGAAGCTGTGGAAGAGACAGGCAAGGGGAACCTGGTCAAGAGTCCAGTGAACTTCACAAGGGAGACTCCACAGGACCAGGTGACAGTGGATGAAGGCAGGGCTAGGGCAGATTGATGCAGAGGGGATTCTCAGAAGAGAGATGAGACAAGTGGGAGGGACCGGGCATGTTTGGGAGCGGCTGGTGAGCTGGCGGACTCTAGACGTCCTCTCAACGTCCTCTCCTCCCCTCCTCCATAGGTGTTCAGCGACATTGGCGCTATCCAGAGCCTGAAACGCCTCGTTTCCTACTCCACTAATGGCACCACGTCAGCGCTGGCGAAGCGCGCACTGCGCCTGCTGGGCGAGGAGGTGCCGCGGCGCATTCTGCCCTGCGTGGCCAGCTGGAAGGAGGCCGAGGTCCAAACGTGGCTGCAGCAGATCGGCTTCTCCCAGTACTGCGAGAGCTTCCGGGTAGAGCCTCGGGGTCGGGCTTCCCCGAGTGGGACTGAGCGCTTCCCTGAGAGCCGCAGGGTCACTGGGGTCCCCATGAGCACAAGCGACTGCATACTTCGTGGCCCCATAGGCCCCAGGCGCCACGGTGCCCTTTTGGGGATGGGGAGCCTGCACTCATCCTGGAAGTCCCTCATCTCTGATCTGGGTCCCATCCACCTCCTCCACTGCCACTTCCAGTTTCCTACCCTTGTATCTGTGCTTGAAATTTGGGGGTGGGGGAGGGGAGTCCTTCCTCACATCTGACTTCTCCCCCAGGAGCAGCAGGTAGATGGCGACCTTCTTCTGCGGCTCACAGAGGAGGAACTCCAAGCCGACCTGGGCATGAAATCTAGCATCACCCGCAAAAGGTAAGGGGAGCCCCGAGCCAGCAGGACCCTACCAGGTCTAACTAACTGCCCGCACGGCCACTAGCCAGTCCTGAGTCAGGATCTCAGCATCTTTTCCTCCTGTGGTGCAGGTTCTTTAGGGAGCTTACGGAACTCAAGACATTTGCCAACTATGCTACGTGCGACCGCAGCAACCTGGCGGACTGGCTGGGCAGCCTGGACCCACGCTTCCGACAGTACACCTATGGCCTGGTCAGCTGCGGCCTGGACCGCTCCCTGCTGCACCGCGTGTCAGAACAGCAGCTGCTGGATGACTGTGGCATCCGCGTGGGCGTGCACCGCGCCCGCATCCTCTCCGCTGCCAGAGGTCAGCCCACACACCAGGGACCCCACCCCAGCTCCGACCCTGGAGGGGCGAGGGGAGACAGGGTGGAGCTCAGAGCCTCGCAAGGGAGTGATGGAGTTCTGCGCTATGGCAGACTGGGCTGTGAGGATCTAAAGATGTAGACCTCAGGAAGTTCACAGTCTGAATTGAGTAAGGCTAGGTGGTTCTACTGGGAAGCATACCCGGGATTCCAGTAGGGGGTGGAGGCAGCACTTACTACCCTATTCACCCAGATCTAAACTTCAGAGGAGACGCCTGACCAAGTATTGAGGGGTGTATGGCAGGGATGGAGTAGCAGGATGGGCAGCCCAGGTCAGGGCTCAGCTTGTGCCATAGTAGTAGGACAGTGCATGGGCCCATACATGGGGTAGTAGCCAGCTTACAAAGTATGGTTTCTGGAGATGTTTTGCAATAGCATCTAGGTAGAGCTCTAAAAACCCTATTTACAAACTTATTTTCACTAATTTTCTATTTAGGTAGTAATTATCATTAACACCAGGTACTAATATTAAATTTTTTTATACATTTATTTTATTTATTTATTTTTATGTGGTGCTGAGGATTGAACCCCAGCCCCCTAATATTAAATTTTTAAGATATTACCTCATTAATTTCTACAACCATCCTATGCAGTGGGTGGTTAATATGTTTTAAATCAACTTTATAACACCTTTTAAAGAATAGAAAGAGGGGATGGGGTTGTGGCTCAAGGGGTAGAGCACTCACCTAACATGCGTGAAGCACTGGGTTCGATCCTCAGCACTGCATAAAAATAAAATGAAGGTATTATGTCCACCTACAACTAAAAGTATATATTTTAAAAAAGAATAAAAAGAGGCCCTAAGAAAAGTAAGTTTCCAATTTGAAGAGTTTGGAAAATATATGCCTCTGTGATAGAGCATTTCAATCATAAGTGTTACTTCTAAAGATAATGAAACTAAGATTTAAAGCATTTAATTTCCCAAGGTTATAAAAGCCAAAAGATGTCAGAATTGGGATTTGAGCCCCTGTTTTTCTGCTTCATAAACAGACAAATATCTGTGGGTGTTAATTCTGAATACTATAGGAAGAAGAATTCTTTTCATTGAACCCATTCATTCAGCAAGTAGGTACTGAGCACCTTCATGGCACAAGGGACTGGGCCTTGGCTTCATTCTTTTGCTTCAACCAAACCAGGTCAGCTTTTATCATTTTCACATTACAGCTCTCAACAAAAGTCTAAGATTTTATTGTTTTAAGAAAACAGGAAGGTCTAGGGCAAAAATAACTTTCAAAAAACAGTTTCTCTAGGGAATAAGGAGCCATGCACAGGTTTTTTTGTTTGTTTGTTTGTTTTGTGTGTATAATTGTTATTGTTTTGTTTTGATACTGGGGATTGAACTCAGAGGCACTCAACCATTGAGCCACATCCCCAGCCCTATTTTGTATTTATTTAGAGACAGGATCTCACTGAGTTACTTAGTGCCTCACTAAGTTGCTGAGGCTGACTTTGAACTTGTGATTTTCCTAACTCAGCCTCCCAAGTCGCTGGGAATATAGGCATGTGCCACCATGCCCAGCATGCACTGTTTTTAAATGGGGCAGACATGCTTAGGTTTGGGTTTTAGAAAGACCCCTGTGGTGACTGGAGATGTAGTTTAGGGGGAGAGTGTTTGCCTAATGTATGAGGCCCTGGGTTCTATCTCCATCACTGCAGAAAGAAAAAAAAAAGAAAAGAAAAGAAAAAAGAAAGAAGGATGGTGTAAAAAATGAATTAGATGGGACAATCCTAGCTGGATTTGGGAGCCCATTGAGGTGAATAGTGTCAAGGATCTGCACATAGGACCCTGTGGCTAGGTAGAAACCATTGAGCAGGGTGCCTGGTGCTGAGGCTAAACTGTGATATTCAAAAGGCTAGATGTATTAAATACATTTTATTTATTTTTATGTATTTATTGGTACTGGGGATTGAACCCCAGGGTGTTTAACTTCTAAGCCACATCCACAGCCTTAAATACTTTCTTTCTTTGTTTTTCTTTGTGTGTGTGTGTGTGTGTGTGTGTGTGTGTGTGTGTTTTGTACCAGGGATTGAACCCAGGGTGCTTAACCCTTGAGCCCTTTTTATTTGTATTTAGAGACAGGGTCTCACTGATTTGCTTAGCAATTCACTAAGTTGCTGAGGCTGGTTTTGAACTCTGATCCTCCTGCCTCAACCTCCAGAGCCACTGGGATTACAGGCATGCTCCACCACGCCCAGCTTAAATGCATTTTGACATGATATTTTCAACTTATCATGGGTTTTCAGGAAGTAGTAACCTCATTGTAAGTGGAGAAGCATCTGTATTTATTTGTTTATTTATTGTAATATTTATTTTTTAGTTGTAGTTGGACACAATACCTTTATTTTTAAAAATTTTTATGTGGTGCTGAGGATCGAACCCAGGGCCTTGCACATGCTAGGCAAGTGTCCTATTGCTGAGCCACAACCCCATCCCCAACATCTGTATTTGTTGAATAAATAAAATACCCAGGTTTCTGGTGGAAACTGGAATGAAGGGATGAGGGGAGGACCTGGGCTGTATTGAGTTTGGAGTGCCTGTGGGCAGCTGGCTGTGCAGGTCTGCAGTTCCAGAGAAAGGGCAAGGCTGGAAGTCCATGTCAATGAACCTTTTGAGAGGGACTCATCAATGATGATGGCCTTCCTTCCTGTAGGCCCCATATCTCCACCTCAGTCACCTTTTTTGAAGCAAGCTACCTTGTCCAAGCTGGGCTGAGAGGACTGGGTAGACACAGGACCAAGTCTCCAAGGTATGATGGACTTCATCGTAAGTAGTGGGGGGGACTGCCCTCACCATGCTGTCTCTCTTGTTGGCCTCAGAAATGCTACACTCCCCACTGCCCTGTACTGGCTGCAAGCCCGGCGGGGACATCCCAGATGTCTTCATCAGCTACCGAAGAAACTCAGGCTCCCAGCTGGCCAGGTAAGGAGGGGTAGGCAGCAGGCATCCTGGGCCTTGGGGAGAGGCCAGGGTGGTGACACAGGGCCTCTCTGCAGTCTCCTGAAGGTGCACCTACAGCTGCATGGCTTCAGTGTCTTTATCGATGTGGAGAAGCTAGAAGCGGGCAAGTTTGAGGACAAGCTCATCCAGAGCGTCATGGGTGCCCGCAACTTTGTGCTGGTGTTGTCACCTGGGGCCCTGGACAAGTGCATGCTGGACCATGACTGCAAGGACTGGGTGCACAAGGTAGGTGTTGACCTGTGCCTCTGCCATCCCAGTACTGGCCCAAGGCCCAGGGGACTGAGTTCCCCTTCTATCCCTTCTTTTCTACACACCCAGCAACACTTGGCCCCAGAACACCTCTCTGGCCCAGCTGGAAGTTGGGAGCCACAGCTCTGACTGGAATGCAGCTTTAGCAAACCACTTTGGATCTCTCTCTCTTTTTTTTTAACATTTATTTTTTAGTTATAGGTGGACACGGTACCTTTATTTTATTTTTATGTAGTGCTGAGGATTGAACCCAGTGCCCCACACATGCTAGGCAAGCAGTCTATCATTGAGTCACAACCCCAGCCCCCACTTAGGATCTTGAACCTCGGTTTTCTCATCTACAAAAGGGGATAACTTACCCATGCTGTTCACCTTGTAGGATTATTGTGAGTGTCAGAGGGGGATGAAAATGCTTTGCAAAATAACCTCTGTGAGGCCGAAGAGAGTACAGTGACAGGCAGTTAGGAATCATTGTTAAGAACATAAAACTGGAAGTTTGGATCTTGGCTCTGGCCTTGGGCAAATTACTTAACTCCAAGGAACTTCATATTTATTACTGTAAAGTGGAGACAATAATAGTAGCAACTCCCTAGGATACTGTTAAAAGGATTAAAAGAGCTAAACTGAAGTGCTTAGCAGAATGTCTGGCACATAGTGATTGCTCAATAATGACAGCTATTATTATTATTATGCCGATTGTATCTGTTTAATTCACCATTATATATTCAATGTATGACACCTAATAGGAACTTAGAATATTTATAGAATAGCTGGTTGTAGAGGTGCACATCTATAATCCCAGCGACTTGGGAGGCTGAGGCAGGAGGATTGCAAGTTCCAGGTAAGCCTTGGCAACTTAATAATGCCCTAAGCAACTTGGTGAAACCTTGTCTCAAAATAAAAAATAAAAAGTGCTGAACTTGTGGCTCAGTAGTTAAGCATCCCTGGGTTCAATCTCTAGTATATATAAAAAAGAAGAATACTTATAGAATGAATGGGTAGATGCAAATATATCGCATCTTCAAGTTAATCATTAATCAGTCAAAAAGAATTGAGGGTTGGAGCTAAGGGATGCCGTAGTTATCTGAGATGGAGTTCTTATCTTCAAGCAGTTCATGAGAAAAGAATGTGCCATCCCTGAGTCAGGTGTGGTGGCTCACACATGTAGTCCCAGCCACTTTGGAGGCTGAAGCAGGAGGATCACTGAGGCAGGAAAAAGGCTGAGACCAGTCTGGGCAACATAGTGAGACCCCTGTCTCTTAATACACACACACACGCACACAGCATATGCTCGCATTGCCTAGATCATATATAAATTGATATAAATGCTAAACTACGTAGATGAACCTGTTAGATCTGTGCTTGAAGCACTGGGAAACAGGGAGCCCGTGATGGGGGAGATGGGCAATGGGTGTTTGGATGGAAGCACTAGAGTAGTCCAGATTGGCAGTTGCGGGGAGGGCCTAGCTCCAGAAGCTATGCAGGAGGAGGCACTTACTGGGTCTGGTTTCAGGAGGAGGCTCTGGAACAGGAAGACATCCTGGAGGAACATGGCTGAGGACCAAGAGCAGGCAGCCTTCTGAGCAGGTGGCAGGTAGCCTTCTGAGAGAGGAAGTGTCTGTGAGCTCCATGAGAGTTCAAAGGAAGCTCAAAAGAGTGTATAGAAGCTGGGTGCAGTGGCACGTATCTGTAATCTTAGTAACTTGGGAGGCTGAGGCTGGGTCACAAGTTCAAAGCCAGCCTCATCAACTTAGAATGACTCTGTCTCAAAAAATTTAAAGGGCTGGGGATGTGGCTCACTGGTAAAGCACTCCTGGGTTCAATCTCTAGTACCAGAAAAAAAGTTTATAGAATAATTGAGCCAATGACTAAACAAATGAATGATTTTGATGTGCATCTACTAAGTTTACCAGGTTAGAAGACTTGTCCTTAAGTTTTCATTCTAGCCAGCTGAGGGAACTTGAACAAGTCATTATCCCTTCCTTAGCCAGTCTCTGAATCTGCACAGAGCAATCTCTTTGGTTCTATGTAATTTTACATGAAACAAATTATTCTAAAGACTTGTGATTAAGTGTGACAGGATCAAAATCCATCCAGATGCTCAGCAGAGACACAGCAGGGCTTGGTTGAAACAGGCCTGGACTTAGGCTCTGAAGGCTCCAGTTGCAGGCCTGGCCCCTCCCGGAGTGGGTGTTTGGGTGATTGTTGGGGGGTCCTTTCCTTTCTCTAAGCTTCCTTCTCTTCAGCTGTAAAACCAAGAGGCTCCCAGAAGCCAGTCAGGGTTGAAGTTAGGCTGATTCTTTCTCTACCCCACAAAGGTGCTTGACACCCATTGTCCCAGCAGACAGTGAGGGGGAGGTGGGAGGCAGGGTGGTGACAGCATTTGCCTTGGACTGGTCCCAAAGGCTCCATCATCCCTCTCTGGTTGTTTTTAATGCTTAATTGCTTCTGGTTTTAATCCTCCTTTCCCTGAAGCCACATTTGGTGGGTAATCGATCTGGAAAACCACAAGTGAACTGCACTCAAGAAAGTCACATCCCTGTGGTTCCCCCTTGAAAGGAAAAACATTCAATAAGCACTTACCAGAGTGCCATTAATAGTAAGAAATACCATCAGAACCACCCAGTGAGGTAGGTTTTATTTCCACTTTACAGAGGAAATAAGGACACCGATTACTTCTTAACCATTCACTACATGCTCAGCACTGCGCTCAGCACTTGCCGTGGAATATTGCAGTTATTTTATGCAACAATCCTACAAGATACAGGACTGTCATTAACCTTATTTTATATGTTAGAAAACAGAAACTTTTGAGACCCCATTATTTTTGCTTCTGGTCACAGAGCTTGTGTCAGAGACTCACTAGGAACCTAGATCTGATGATTCCAGAGTGCAGCCCCCTAATTGCTGGGCTGTGTTGCTTTGTTCATTCATTCATTGTTTCATTCTTTCATCCATCAGTCAAATAGTTATCGAGGGTTGACCATGGGCAGGATTTTGGGAAAGATGCTAATAAAGTGAGTAAACAACACACACAGCCCCTGTCCTTCTGTTTGGCAGAGAAAACAAACATTAAGTAAACTACATGTTAATTAATTTAAATCTGCAACTGTAGCCTGGGCTGCAGAGCCTGAGAGTATATGAGAGGGGAAGCTGACTTGGTCACGGAAGTAGGACAACTTCCCTAGAAAAGTGTTGACTGAGGGCTGGGGCTGGGGCTCAGTGGTAGCACACTTGCCTGGCATGTGTGAGGCACTGGGTTCGATTCTCAGCACCACAGAAATAATTTTTTTTAAATAAAGGTCTATCAACATCTAAAAAAAATATTTTAAAAAAATTGTTGACTGAACTCAAATCCGAAAGATGTGGGGATGTAAGTGAAAGGGCAGAGAAGCATGTTCAAGGCGGAGGAAACAGCATAGGCAGAAGCCCTCGCAGGGAAGGAAGATAACAGAGCTAAGGGTGTAGGTTCTGTGTGTCCCAGAGGATGGGGAAGGGGTAGAGATTAAGAAATGGGCTGTGGCCAACCACACAGGCCTTGCAGTCTGCATTAGAAAGTTTCATCTTTATTCTAAGAGACAAAGTCTTGAGGAGTTTTAAGTAGGATGTGACATGATCAGACATGTCAGATTTTTCATTTTTCAGAGATTATTCAGGTGAAAAGGCATTTTGGAAAACAAATTAGAGGAGCAAGAGTGGATGAGGAGAGACCTGGTAAATAGGATGGGGTTGGACAAGGCTGAGCAGGGTATAGGTAGAGAAAATTGGTGGAATTGAGAAATAAGTAAGAAGTACAATGGGCAGGGCTCGTGATGGAGCCACATAGATGCAGGGGTGAGATGAATTTCTTTGACAGAAAATTATATGGGTTTTTTCCTACACTAACAACTAATCAATTTTCTGACACCAAGGGGGTGCCCTTCAATTGAGTTTGATCCTGGAGTATCCAACTCCACAGGCTGAAGAGCTGAGTTCCACAAACCCTGACTTCAGTCACAAGTCCTGGGTGCCTAGGCCACCCCTGTCTGACTTGACTATCAGTTTGGCAGTTCTCATGATCACCACCCACCCAGCCCAGTTCAGTTTTTCTCTGTGACTCATTGAACTCAGAAAATCCTTGACTTACTCTTAGTGGGGTTTATTATAAAGGACACAACTCAGGAAAAGCCAAATGGAAACGAATCACAGGGCAGGGTAAGGAGGGCAAGGGGCTTCCCTACCTTCTCCCTGGCACTACCTTCCTGGCTTCTTCACCAACCCAGAAGCTCTTTAAATCCATTGTATAGGGGATTTGATGCATGTTTTATTAAATAGGCATGATTGTTCAATCATTGTTGATGGGGATTGAACCCAACCTGCAGCCCCTCTCCAGATGTCACCTAAGCATGCCGGGGTCTTTCTGGTGATCAGCCCTCTTCCTGACTCTCTTGGCCACTGCCCTGGCTCACTCCTGGCTGGGAGTTATCTCATTAGCAGAAGATGTACTCTTATCACTCAGGAAACTATAGTGGGTTTAGGAGCTCAGTGCCAACTCTGTCCCAAGATCAAATCTTTTTTTCACTGTAGGGGGGTGAAGGAGAAGTTGGGGGGATTTGAAGACCAGTGTCTTGCCTCAGGCTCAGTCCCAGGCCAGCACCCCACTTCCCCACTACCCCAGCACCTATCTGGCCCTAGGGTTCCTAGATGAGACAGGGGGTTTCTTCCTCTTTTCTCTTCTCCTTTTAGGAGATTGTGACTGCTCTAAGCTGTGGCAAGAACATTGTGCCCGTCATTGATGGCTTTGAGTGGCCTGAGCCCCAGGCTCTGCCCGAGGACATGCAGGCTGTGCTTACCTTCAACGGCATCAAGTGAGCCCCAGGGCCCCAGGGAATGAAAGCCAAGGGGAGTGGGTACACATCACCCCTACAGGCAGCATGAGGATAAAGCAAACAGGCCCCTGGCCAGCAGCTCCATCTGTGCAGCCATCTGATCCCTTGGTCCTTGTGCCCACAGGTGGTCCCATGAGTACCAGGAGGCCACCATTGAGAAGATCATCCGCTTCCTGCAGGGTCGCTCCTCCCGGGACTCATCTGCAGGCTCTGACACCAGTTTGGAGGGTGCTGCACCCATGGGCCCACCTTAACCAGTTTCCAGTTCCCAGTCCCTGCTGTGTCTCCCATTTCCATGGTCCTCCCTGAAGGAACAGCTCTTTAAACAGAGTCAGCCTAGGCTCTTCTCAGGAAATGGCTCTCCCTGTCCCCTACCCTCATGGCCCACTTCAACATCCCCTTCCTCAGTATGTGGAAAGGGAAGGAAGCTGGGCTTGGGTGTGGGGGTTCCTCCTCCCTCAGGCCCTGCCATCAGGTTCTCTGTCCCCCGTCCTCAGAGTTGTGTCCCTGCCAAGTTCTGGAAACGCAGGAGACTGAGGGGAGGGTCACGGCATATTCTCTCATACGCCGCCCTGAGAGCAGCCGGCTTGAGTAGGCAGCCTCTGACAGAAATCAGGGCCATGTGCAGGCCCTGGGCAAGGGCCTGCACCTGGGAGGCAGCCATGGACAGGCCCCTCAATGGCTGTTCGTGGGCCCTGATGCCACTTCCTACTGTCTTGTGGCCTTGCCCTATAACCACTCAGTGCCCCTCCCAGCCTTCCTCACAGCTGGGGTCAAGGTTGAGCTGAGCTGGCCCACAGGCTGTATATGCCTCGGTTACTTTGCTGTGCTTGTGCATGGGAGCTTCCTACCAGGGCCCAGTTCTGGGCAGGGAGGCCATGTCTCAAAGCCCACCTACCCCAGGCCTTGGTGCTCTGCCTAAGATGCCTGACCACCCAGGCCCTATTGGCTTCCCCAGCTCCTCACCCACCCAGGGCTTCCCACCCACTTGCTCAGGGAAGAGGGGGACCAGGCACCCCCAACCCCCGGCAGCCCCAGTAGCCTGGACAGCACCTGCAGCTCTGTGGAAAGAAGCAAGATCCTGAAGGGCAAGGGTGATGACCTAGCGGTTTCTCACAATGTCAAGTGCATTCAGGAATCTTGTTAAAATTCAATGCAAGAGACCTGAGGCAGGGCCTGAGAGTATGCATTTCCCACAAATCCCTGGGCAAACCGATGCAGGTGGTCAAGGGACCACACTAAGCAGAAAGTCCTTCACAAATCTTTTGTCATTTCCCAAACATTCCACTCCTGGTTTCTGTAATCATTACAGCAACCCTGTCCAGTACTGTCCCCCTGTACTAGAAAGTAAGGAAGAAAGACTGAGTGATAAATCCCATTTTTCAAATCATTATCGGTAGCCCCAGGATTCAGAGCCAGGTATCCCAGCACCCAGGTCACTGCAGATGGACTGGGCTGATGATTCCTGAGAATCGTCTTGGTGGATGAACCTCTGCAGGGCTGTGGCTTCTCCCATGCTTCAGAGAATCTAGCAGTGGGGGGATAGGTTTTAGCCAAAAGGCTGACCCAGGGGTCATACAGAAATAGCTAGGGAGAAATGTCCCTGTGGCCCTCCCTCCAATAACCCACGCTCCAGCTAGTGGGGTCGGCTGTTACCTGCCCTGTACTTCCTTCTGGGGGCAGTGGGTTCACACCTCAGGGCTGGCTCAGCTCCTAGACCCCAGCCCTGCAGAGCTGGCCAGGTTTCTCCTTGCTTTTGGACCACATCATCAGGAAGCCAAAGATCTCATTGCAGGCTTGGGACTCCTTCCTTCCACTTTCCACCCTCCCCTTGTCTTAAGTGGATCCTGGCCCAGTTCTGGCTTTGACCATACACCATCCTCTCCCAGACACTCAGCCCAAGTGCATGCTAGTTCAAGCCCAGGATTCTGTCCTGGATGTGACAGACAAAGCAGACTGGATAGTTGCCCTCACACAGTAGTCACTAATACAGCGTCTGCATACTCCCAGGGGGATCTTTCTGCCTTTCTGTCCCTATGGGTAGTACTCAGAGAAGTTCCTGGTTTTTCTTCAAGCACACGCTCCACCACTGTCCACCTCCACTGTCCAGCCTTCTGCCCCGTCCTCTGTCTCTCCAGGCAATCAGGAGCCTATTTCTGGCTCCAGACAGAGCAACTGAACTGAGGAGCCTGTCCCAGCCAGGCCAGTATGTTCAGGGGTGGTGGCCGCCTCTGCCATGTCAAACACTGCTCAGATTGCAGCTAGGGCAAACAGCTGGGCCCTTAACCTCCACCTTAGAGCTCATCCTGAGATAGGGCTCAGAAGTAGCACCCCTCCCACAGCCTGCTCTGACTCAGGTCTGCAGAATCAAGGTTTTTTGCTTGTCTGGGCTATAGGCATTGCCCCCAGATTAAGGCTGAGTTAGGCTGAGTTAACAAGGTCCCTACCCCACCTCACCTGTCCCTCTAAGAGCTGCTCAGGGACATTCAGAAATCAAAAGTCCAGCCACAATTCATTCATCCTTCTCTTTAGCCCATGAAGATAGGCATCTCATCCTAGAATGTGTCCTGGAAGGTCCATCCAGGTGTGGTTCCCACATTCAGACTATTTGGGGGCATTGCTGATCTAGCCTTTCCTAGAGGAGACTGCTCAAGTCACACAGCTATCCAGAGTAGAGCCCGGCCTCAGGCCAGCTCAGCCCCATGGTGCGGGGGTCAGGGAGGCAGAAGTCTGGCAACAAGGGCCCAGGCTGCAGGGACTCTAGCCAGCCCTGAACTACCCATTTCACCTGCATGATTTTTCAGCCAGCAAACTGGCTAACAGGGCAGATGAGAAAGTAGGGAAAAATGGCAGCAGGCCAAGCCCCCAAGGGCAGTTCTGGTTTGAAGACTGAAGTAGCCCCTGATTTGGGTCTGCTAGGGGACTTATGGGTCCTTATCAAAGCCAGTGCTTTAATATTAAATAAGATTCTACCTTTCAACTTCAGGTCCAGACCTTCCTACCTCCCTAGAAATGGGTCCCTCATTCTCTGGGAAGCTCTGGTCCATGAATCATATGGAAAATCAGGTTCAGCTCCCAGTAGACCTACAGAGACACAGGGATGGGCTTGGCACATGACTGCTGAAGCGCTCAGCAACGACAGGTGTCAGAAGGCTGTGTCAACGAAAACTGATCCTGCCTGGTGTAGCCAGGAAGATCAGCGTAGGTGCTTCTGGAAAGTGCATCTCACTGACCCTCAGGAAGAGGCAGCCAGAGCCCTGCCCAAGGTTTCCTGCTGGCCTCTTCCAAGTCTTGCAGCTTATCACCTGACAGCTCAGGAGCCGGATAGCCACACCCAGGACCAACCCCACAGGTAGCCCAGGGGCTCCCCACCCAGCCCAGCAGCAGCAGATGGCTGGAGTCTGACCTATGGTGAGCAGACCAGGAAAACAGAGGGCCCCAAATACAATGCCTTAGAGACCAGAAGATTCCTTTTGGTTTGATTCAATTAATTTATTGTGATTGGCACAGTTAAGCCCAGGGGTGCAAAGGTTGTAGTCAAGGATTGAGTCCATCCACAGTGACAGTAGCATTCTCTCTCTAGGGGAGCCATGCTCTCCCAACCCCTCCCGCACCGCCCCAAGGCTGGCACTAATGGATAATATAGTCATCATTAAGGAATGATTGGCAGCTGCTGTACACATCAGGAACACACACTCCATTGGTCCCTGAGGTCTCATTCTATCAGGATTCCTCCCCTAAAGGGTTCCAAGTGATGGATGGCATAAAAAGTAATCAGACCCCTGCTGCCTGCCCTGGAGTGGGCCTGTCAGATTGGGATTCTAAATTCTAGACAGAGGCTGGCTCAGTTCTGGACCAGGTGGTACCTTGAATGAGCTTGACCACCTTGTCTAAGAAGCGCTGCCCTCTGAGGGGAGCTGCAGCTCAGCTGTGGGCTGGCTCCTAGATGCAGACTCGCAGTCAGTGTGTTCATTCTGCTCCTCTTGCCCTCTGTCCTTTGGCACAGGCAGATCAGGGGTTCTAGGAAATGTTCTGGAATTCAGAGTGAGGATTAGCCCTTTCCAGCACCCTGTAAAAGAACAGAGAGAGGGTTCCGATTTGACAAGAATCCTCGACTCCTGTCTGGAAAAGTGACACAGGATTCACTCAGGTGGGCTGTCCCAGTGTCCTCTCCTGAATTCCTCCCTCCCCAAGCTGCAAGGTAAAGGACACTATCCAGTGATAGATGTTTCTGGAAAATAACTCCTAAGTCAGCAGTGGCTCCAGGTGCAGTAGTGCAGGCCTAGAATGCCAGCTACTTGTGAGGCTAGTGCAGGAGGACTGCTTGGGCAGTTTAGTGAGACCCTGTCTCATAAAAATAAAAAGGGGGCTGGGGTTGTGGCTCAGTGGTATAGAGCACTTGTCGTCTAGCATGTGTGAGGCCCTGGGTTCGATTCTCAGAACCACATATAAATAAAATAAAGGTCCATTGACAACTAAAAAAAAATAAAATAAAATAAAAATAAAAGGGACAGAGGTGTAGCTCAGTGGTAGTACACTCCAGGTTCAATCCCCAGTGCCAACAATAAAAGAGACAAAGGGGGAAGAAGTCAGTGAGTTGGGCTAGCCTGTGGCCCAGCCACCAGGACAGAGGAAGCTTTGTGGAGTCCCTTTAACACAGTTCTGCTGCCCATAGTTCCACCTGTAAAATGGGAATGGAAGAAGTGAGGGGACCTGGGGAGGTAACAGCTTGGCCACAAATTAGCCTGATCCTTCCCTGCCTGGCCCTTGGAGAATGGCTCCTGGAGGATTAGGCAGCCATCTGCAAGGGGGCAATCAGCCAGGAGGGGACACCCACAGGAGAAGAGGTAGAAATGATGCTGCCATTTCCAGGTAGGAGTGGGAGGAAGAAGAAACCTTTTAAGATAAAGGGCTCCATTATGAACATGGGTTTAGGGCCTACATTACCCGATCAAAATGGCTGGGATGAAGAGGAGACCAGCTCCCAGGAGGAAGGGGAAGCCCTTCAAGAAGTTCAGAGTGGCTGGATAGAGTGAGTTGAAGATCCCGGAGGCTGCCAGCATGGCCAAGCTGCTCACACAGGCCATAGCGGAAAAGAGAGCACCTGCAAAGAAATAAATGCCACACTCTGAGGGCTGGGGTGAAGCTCAGCAGTGGAGCACTTGCCTATCATGTGCAAGGCCCTGGGTTCAACCTCTAAAACAGGAAGGAAAAAGAAAGAAGAAAAAAAAAAAAAAGCCAAGTTCCAGAGTTCAAAAGATTCAGGGTAAAATCCTGGTACCACCATACCACTTCACAGCTGTGAGACCCAGGGCAAGTCACTTAACCTCTCCCTCACCTGTAAATCCTACCACATCATGATAAAGATTCAGTAATGTCATGCATGGAAAGCATCCCCCACAAAAGGGCGACTACATTAGTGACTGCTTTTAAATCCACAATAAAAGTACATGTGATAGCTTCTAATGAAAGCCTGATGGAAATGGTGTTTGGGGGAGGGGGTTATCCTCTTTGGAATCACCTCCTGTTTGGCATTAACTGCTGATATGATTCCCAGTTCCAATACTCAGTGGCTTATCCTGATGGGTTTCTGTTCCCCCTCCTGTGAAATAAGCCTAACAACTATTTCAAAGTTTGTCAGCAACTTAAAGCTCACACATAAAGCACGCATCCCAGCATGCCTGCTGGAGGTAGCTAGTAAATAAAGGCTGTTTTCTCCTTTTCCCCTTGACATGTCTGGGCACAGTGAAAAGTGTTGGGAAGAAAGCTTACTGAGTGAGTGAATGAAGGCAGCTGGGTTCTGGAGACACCTGAGCCCATAGTGGGTTGTGTAAGCCACCAGGTGTCCATCAACAGATCCAGGGCAGATGTTTCCAGACTAAAGTATAAGGACCCAGAGGTCGGAGGAGCTGTCTTACAGCTATGCCACATAAGCAGTTTGCACACATAAGCAATGATCGAAGAGAAATTAAGATTAAACTGTCAGGCTGTCAGAGCTGAAGGGCCTGCAGATGTCACCAAGAGCAAACCACTCGTTACACAGAAGGAAACTGAGGCCCATGACAGAGCCAGGGCTGAACCCCAGCTCCCAAGAACCACTGCTCTTAAAACAGACCTCGGTGTGCATCCCAGCTCCACCATTTACTGAGTGACCTTGATTGAACCAAGTTAACCCTCTGGGGCTGTTTCTTCACCTGACAGTTGGGAACAATGAAACCAAGGTTACAAGGTTGCTCATTTCCTCTGGGTTTGTACACTCTGACCCCAAGGAATCAGGAAACTCCAAAATCATCATGGATGGAAGAACTGAGGTCTGCAAAGAGTAAATCTTCCACGCCAGTTATCAAGTGCTGCTGAATGCAAAAACCCAGCCCTCCACCAGAACCTAGGCCATCTGACAGAAGTGCATTCGTCTTGGCCACTTCCCCAGCATGGGAGGAAGGTAGGCTGTTCCCTAGCCTGGCTGCCCAGTTCAGCCAACACTGGGCTTGAGGAACAAGATGCAGACTGATTCTGATACTTACCCTGCTCAGACTCACCCACCAGCTTGGAGAGTTTGGCCCGGATGATAGGTGTGATGACTAACGACAGAAAGAGCAAGCCATATCCTGTGGAGAAATAAAGACACATCAGGAAAGTGGGGTCAGGGAGAGGCAGCAGGGCTCCTATACATACCCATATGGGACTTAAGTTAGACCCAGGAAGTTCTTCCTTGATGGTGAAGGTAGGGAGAGCATCCTTCTCTGTGCTCACCTATCCGCTATCTGTTTCAAGAATGAGTGCTGATTCCCACCACTGGCTTTGTTGTCAGAATACCTCTTATGGCCGCTATAGGCATCACCCACCCATGGAGCAGTCAGGAGGGAGGTGGCAGGGCACAGGAGCATAGACTTTGGAGGCAGCTCCAAGTTCAAAACCTGATGCCATTGCTTACCATGTGTGGGACCTTGGGTACCTCCCTGAGCCCAACTCCCAGCCTATAAAAGGAAGATTATAAGACATCCATCTGCAGTATAGGGGGCTGAATAACACCCACAAAAGGTATCAGGTCCTAAATCCTGGAATCTGTAAATGATGCCTTATTTAGAAAATGGGTCTTTGCAAATGTGATTAAGGTAAGAATCTTAAGGAGGAAAGATTATCTTGGATGATCAGGTTGGGCCCTAAATGCAATCTACATATCCTTTCCAGTAGAGGGAGATTTGACATAGATAGAATGGAGAAGGCACAGAGATAAGAAGGCAGTGTGTCCACAGAGGCAGAAACTGGTGATGTGATCATGTGTGAGGAGTGCCAGCAGCCACCAGAAGCTGAAAGAGGTGAGATACAGATTCTCTTCTAGAGCCTTCGGAGAGAGCACTGGCCTTATCAACTTCTAATTTCAGTCTAGCAATACTGATTTGGGACTTTTGGCTTCCAAAACTGTGAGAGAATAAATTTCTGTTGTTTTAAGCCACCCAATTTGTGGTAATTTTTGTTTTTTGAAGTACCAGGGATTGAAAAGGTGCTCAGAGTTATACCACTGAGTTATATCCCTAGTCCTATTTATTTATTTACTTTAATTTTGAGACAGTCTGGCTAAGTGGCTGAAGGCTGGCTTTGAACTTGCCTCCTGCCTTGGCCTCCTGAGTTGCTGGGGTTGTAATAATTGTTATTACATTTGTAATAATTTGTTACAGCAACCTTAAGAAACATACACAGGGTAAAGAGGTGACAACTATAAAAAATGCAGTAAGTACACAGTAAATATACAGCACAGTAAGGACATAGTAAATATGAGCTCCTTTTCCTTTTGCATTTAGTTACTTATAGACATACCCTGTTTTCTTCAGAACTATTCTTCCTACATGACTGTTGTGTCCTCAACAAAATTTCAGATTCTTAGAGGACAGTGTATCCTCCAAAGTCAGTATATGATGAAGCACCCCAAGACCTCTTTGGGGTCAGGACCCCCAAATTCCACTCTGCTAAGACTCTCAGAATAATGGCAGTAACTTCATCCTCTCTGCACCCCCAAGGGCTGCAGGTATGAATGAAAGGTACCTGGACCCCCACCTTCATTGTCAGTCAAGAAACTGAGTTAAGAAATCTGTTACTATTGAATGGTTGACTTTGTGCACAACATATTTTAGGGCTCTAACAAAATAAATCTGTCCCTTTAAAATAGTTATTTCTTTACTCCTTTGCTAGCCACCCAGCTGGAAGCCAAAAAAAAAAAAAGTGATGAGGAAGCAGGGAAGAGAGGAACTAAGCAAGCAGCAACTTCCTGTGGTCTGAGAAGACTGGCTTTTTAAAAATAAATAAATAAAAATAAAAGTAGACTGAGATATTTGAGGCAGGACCTGTGGTTCTTATCAGAGAAATGAGTATCCAGGCATTAATGGCATGGACTTTGTTTAAGAGCACCATGGATAGGCTACGGGAGGCCAAGGGGTGAAGCAATTAGTGTATGAGCCATACTTTTGTCTTTTGCTCTAATTACTAATAATATTTATGGTTGATAATGTGCATTAATTACTTTGGCTACTTAAAGGCTATATTTTCCATCTATCAAAGATGGCATTTTTCTGGGCTGGGGTTGTGGCTCAGTGGTAAAGCACTCACCTAGCATGTGTGAGGCACTGAGTTGATCCTCAGCACCACATAAAAAATAAATAAATAGCTGGGCACGGTGGCCCATGCCTATAATCCCAGCAGCTTGGGAGGCTGAGGCAGGAAGATGGCGAGTTCAAAGCCAGCCTCAGAAACAGTGAGGCACTAAGCAACTCAGTGAGACCCTGTCTTTAAAGAAAATACAAAATAGGGCTGGGGATGTGGCTGAGTGGTTGAGTGCCCCTGAGTTCAATCCCCAGTACCTAAATAAATAAAAGGTATGGTGTCCATCTACAACTAA